CCCCCAAAAAAAAACCAAAAGCAAAAAACCCTTAACAAATTCCAAACATTTATTGATTGCAAATGGGTGCAGTGACATCTGCCTAAGTCTGTAAAATTCTGAGAGGTCTGAACTGACTACCCTGTTCGACTCATTGGGTTTCTGACTTTGAAACTTAGTTAACGTTGATACTGTATTTAAATATCAGAACCATTTCTCTACTGGTCATTTTAGCAGAAACATAGTGAAGGAAGATAATTTCATGGAGAGTTCATAAAATTATTAATAATTTGTTAGATTACTTGCCTTGTATTATTTTTACTTCCATCTATGCAGAAAACCTTTTTTTATTAAATCACTTTTCAAGCAAAATCAATGGCAGTGAGCAGCATATTACTCCATAAGGGTCCTGCCAGAGCTTTAATCCTTTTTTTAAACCCTGATTTACATTGTATGTCAGTTTAGCTTACTTGGTAGCTCTCACCTCTGGGCCAGAAGGTGAGGCGCTCAAGTGTTGCGCTAAGACTTTGAGCTCGGTGCCGATTTTGATAATGCAGAGCAGTAAATAGTATAAATATTAATTTGTATTTGCCTATAAGTACAGGCATCTGGGAGATTTAAAATATAATTAAATATAATTGAAAACGTGATAAAAATAAGGCAGCTTTCTAAATCCTAGAGCACGAACACCTTCCATCAAACAATAAGACCACAAACATGCTTAATGTAAGAAACTACTAAGTCTTGCAACTTGTCCTGAAAGATGTCACAGATATATTTGTCTTATGTTTAGGGAGTGTTCTGGAGTTCTGCAATACATCTTCATTGGAGAAGGTCTTGCTTTCCATCATCTCAGGATTAAACCTGGGCTTTAATAAAATATAGTACTCTTGGTGTACACAGTTGAACAGATATATAAGTCAAGTCTTTGCTCAGAAGAGCTTACAATTTAAATATTTTACTATGTTGATGTTGAAATAAAAACAATGCCATTCTACCCTAAGCTGTGAACCCTGCGTATCTGCTCCGTGCAAACTGCATAAGTAGATGCTGATAAACCAGCAAGTTTCCCCAGCCCCCCTGTGGTGCATTTTATCCAAGTTGAGCTTGTCTAAACTCAACTTTCACCAGTTTAATTCCACTTAAAATTGCAGCTTCAGTTAAACTGCTTCTACTTTGTGTAGACCAGGCCTTAAATTGCCATGTGACATCTGCTCTGGGGGAACCATGGGAATGCCAGGGGAGGACGGAACTTTTGCTTTTTATGTGTATTCACTGTTTATATGCCAGGTTGATGAGAAATAAGTTTAACTAAGAGCCAGTTTTTTCTCCAGTCCATCCATGTGCAAAATCACTTCTGTGGTGGTTAATGTAGAAGGAAAGAGATATGGATTACATTACCCTAGTAGTTTCTCTTTTCAGCCATCTCTCTGTAAAACACTATGTTGTTGCACTGTATATTCAGTGTTAAAAACTTCTTGCACACTTGTGTATAACTAAGCCTGAACTAGTCAAATAACGCTCTCTTGGGTGTGCCATACTGTGTTTAAACAGTCTGGGTTCTAGAAGAAAATATTTCCAATCCATATCTTGGCTCAATGAATAGCAGTACTGCTTACTTGAGAGGGTGTAGGACTAGGAAATTATCCTATAAACTTTGTGCTGAACCCAAAGCTCCCATGGTCAAGCAGTGGCAAAGAATCAAAATTATGATTCTTTGCAAACTAAAGCTGTAACATTTTAACAGATATGGAACTGCCTAATATGGTCATAGTTAATGATGTGGGGTGGTGGCCAGTTGTGTATTGCAGATTTACACTTCAGGCTGGTAGTGTGATATGGGCGGGGGTGAGGGAGAGCTCCTATTACTAGACAGGAGAATGTTAAGGGAGAGAGGGGAGCATAAGATCGCCAAATAGAAGACAAGATGGCTGAATCTTTTTCTTAGCAAATGTATATATTCTCTAATATGCCTCTTTTAATCTGACTTTGCTGGATCTCATCATACATACAGATTAGAGATGGAGAGTGCTTTTCCAATCAACTCTTAAATATTACTTTGAAAATTGAAAATGCTGATGCAAACCATTAACTTCCCCCTCTCCTTTTTCTTCATTTATATACTCCAGGAAGTAGTCTTTGTGGTTTGCCATTCTTACTCGAAAAAAGTGTCACAGTTTGAATGTACTCAAGTATGATCACTTATTATATTAAGCACCATTCAGTCCCATTATTCTGAGATTAAATTGCTACTTTTTTTATATAATGATGTTGGGTATTTTTTAAATCCACCTTACCCCAACTGGAAATTTCAGTCTGCTTTTTTGGTATATATTATTTTCTTTAATAAGAAATTGAAGGGTTTGTCGCATGCCCCCCCCACTCTCCCTCCCCCCAAAATCCTTCATTTTCTCACTTCATGTCTTGTCTTTTTGAAAGATTGGAATGTTCCTATGCATGATACTTACACTCCCAGTAATAACTGAGCTAACACATTACCTAAGCATAACATGTCAAAACATGGGCCTGTGCAGTTACATTGGAATGTAGCTCTTTAAGGGTGGGGCAAGGGGAATAACTGTCATTTAAGGCATTTGCTCACTTAAGAATAAACAAGGGTTTTGTTGAGGAGTGAAAGCAAAACAAATACCTGGTTACCTATATAGCTTTATGAGCTACCTATATCCCATAAATTAGGTTTAGCCAAGGTCAGTAAGTACAGTAGTTACAACACAGGCATTTTAATATGACCTGAATTGCACATTAGTAATCTTTGTATGGAGGTATACCATAGGGTAAAAGATAACTAATTCAATTTCCTAGGCAACAGTGTTGCATTGTAGTGAGTGCAGGTGATGACCTTTTCTTTTCAGATTAACCATAGTACACATTCTTTGCAGCTATCATCAATGTTGATATTTCTGGGAGTTTTGAGAGAGATGAAATGCTGAAATGATTTTTTTTTTTTTAAAATACCTTCATTGAAGGTGGTTGAACTGTTTCACAACCAAAGAGGTTATTGTAGAAGTCTAAGGATACCTGGAAATTCATAAGAACAGAGGTGTATGTTCTGGAGAAATGAAGCAAATTAAGCAGCATTTTTTAAGAAGTGTCTGTCTTTGAAACAGTGTAGGGCTCTAGTGTAATTTAACACCTACTTTATGAAGATGTGATTAAAACAAAATCCAGAGATTACATAAACATGCATTTCTATTTTTTCCACCACATTCCATGGCTTGCAAAAATGATTGAAGTATTTTTAAAGGAGTGGTACATGAAGACAAAAAATAGAAGAATACATGTATGGAGAAATGCCACAAAAATAGTGCTTTGAAAAGGAGGCAAGACAGTTAACCTCATCCCTCAAATTAATTCCTACCTCTTCTTCTAACCACAATCATTGTACTGAAGAATCTCAGCAGTTAACAGATGTTGGGACTCTTATTTGATCTTTGGCTGTGAACAGTGCTGCATAGAAGAACAATGTTCCTCTCGGACAGTGTTTCCCAAACTTGGGACGCTGCTTGTGCAGGGAAAGCCCCTGCCGGGCTGGGCCGGTTTGTGTACCTGCCGCGTCCGCAGGTCCGGCCAATCGCGGCTCCCACTGGCCGCGGTTTGCCACTCCAGGCCAATGGGAGCTGCTGGAAGTGGCGGCCAGTACATCCCTCTGGCCTAGAGCGGCGAACCGTGGCCAGTGGGAGCCGCGATCGGCCGGACCTGCGGACGCGGCAGGTACACAAACCGTCCCGGCCCACCAGGGCCTTTCCCTACACAAGCGGTGTCCCAAGTTTGGGAAACACTGCTGTAGGAGTACCATGTATATACTCGATCATAAGCCGGTTCGTTTATAAGCCAATCCCCCCAAGATGGATAAGTAAAAATGGAAAAATTTTATGACCCGTTCATAAGCCGACCCTATAGTTCAAGGGTCAGCAAACTTTGGCTCCCGGGCCATCAGGATAAGCCGCTGGCGGGCCGAGATGATTTGTTTACCTTGCGTCCACAGGCACGGAGGTAAACCTAAGTAAACAAAGTGTCCCGGCGCACCAGCGACTTACCCTGATGGGCCGGGACAGCAACTGGTGGGGAAATTTTTCTGGGGGGAGATGCTGGGGGTCAGGGGAGTAACTCCTGTGACCACCCCCCACATGGCCCCACTCCTCGCCTGGGACCCACACACTCTCCCTATCCCATCCCTTCCCACCTTATCTGGGGAGGATGCGTCTCGGCCTGCTCCGGCGGGCTAGGCGGTGCGGCCGCGGCCTGCTCCGGCGCGGGCCAGGCGGCGCTGCTGGCTTTGCTCCCTCTGTTGGGGGGAGGGGCTGTGTCCCACTTCTCCCTCTCTATACCCTTCTCTGGTGCTTCCCTTTTTTTACTAAAAAAAATTAGGCTTATGAATGAGTATATCCTTAATGAAGACTATAGATTTCTAATATACCATCCAAGTTAAGGCTAAGGTGTGCAGAAGCAACTAGTGATTCTAGGTGCCTCAATTTTTCTGTAACCAACTTGAGACTCATGAAAGGGGCCTGATTTTTCAGAGAGTATGTTCTCAGAAAATTGAGGCTTTCAAAATTACTAGCCATTTTTTTAAAATCTTAGCCTAAGTCATATCCTGCATGAATGTAGCTTTTCCTCCCCTAATAATTCAATATTTGTTAATGTGGAGCTAACAACTTCAAAATATAGTTAGGAAACAATTTCTGGTTAGGAATTATTTTGTTGTTGCCACGGAGAATGGAGAGAGTGAAGAATAACAGAGGACTAATTAAAATATCCAACCTTTCTTATTAAATATGAAGCTCTTCCTTGAATAAACGTCCTCTCTTGCATTCCAGAATCTGTTAGATTATTTCAGCTTTAATTTACAAGAGACTTTTCTGTGTGTATGAAACTGTTCTTGAGGCTGTGATATATTTTCTGTTATATTCCATGTGCAGCCTTATAAGACTTGTCATGAAATACATCTTAAGAATCTGCAAACTGAGTAAGGGAGAAACAGAATGAACCAGAAATCATTTTAAGCACTGTGTAAAAACCTAATTTTATTATAACAGCTTGAAAATTTATGTATTTTATCACCCCAGGCACCAAATCTACTTGGTAACATTTTACTTATAATGTTGATAAAAAACAAAACAGTCTTAATACTTTTAATGAAAAGGAAATGCTTACTATGGGATAGTAGATGAGAATAATCCTTTAAGGCCGTATATAGTTGTTGCTTGCTTCAGAGTGAGACAGCAAATGCTGGGTATTTAAGTTTTCTGTAGCATGTCATAGGATAAGCAGTCATCAGATAAGAGGGAAGGTCCTCCCATGTATCGATAGCTGGCTAAAAGATAGGAAACAAAGGGTAGGAATAAATGGACAGTTTTCGAATGGAGAGGTAAATTGTGGTATTCCCCAGGAGTCTGTACTGGGACCAGTGCTGTATAACATATTCATAAATGATGTGGAAAAAGGGGTAAAGCGTAAGGTGGAAAATTTGCAGATGATACAAAATTACTTGAGATAGTTGAGTCCAAAGCAGACTGCGAAAAGTTACAAAGGGATCACACAAAATTGGGTGCAGATGAAATTTAGAGTGGATAAAGGCAAAGTAATGCACATATAAAATATAATCCCAACTCTGTACAAAATTATGGGGTATAAATTAGCTGTTACCACTCAAGAAAGAGAACTTGGAGTCACTGTGGCTAGTTCTCGGAAAACATCTACTCAACGTGCAGCGACAGTCAAAACTAACAATGTTAGGAACCATTAGGAAAGGGATAGATAAAACAGAAATATCATAATGCCACTGTATAAATCCATGGTACGCCCACATCTTGAATATTGCATGCAGATCTGGTCTCCCCATATCAAAAAAGATGCATTAGAATTGGAAAAGGTACAGAGAAGAGCAACAAAAATGATTAGGGGTATGGAATGGCTTCCATATGAGGAGAGATTAAAAGACTCGGACTTTTCATCTTGGACTAAGAGGTGATATGATAGAGGTCTATAAATCCTTGACTGGTGCAGAGAAAGTGAATAAGGAAATGTTGTTTACTCCTTCACATAACACAGGAACTAGGGCTCACTCAATGAAATTAATAGGCAGCAGGTTTAAAACATACAAAAGGAAGTACTTCACACAACGTACAGTCAACCTGTTTAACTTGTTGCCAGGGGATGTTATGAAGGCCAAAACTATAACAGAATTCAAAAAAGAACTAGATAAGTTCATGGAGGATAGGTAGAGCCCTGCACAGATATAGAAAATTTATATCTGCAGATAAAAATTTTCTATGTGTGGCGCTGCAGGCTCTACTGGGAACCACAGTGGCGAAAGCAGCAGCCTATCAGGCCACCACTGCCAGGAGCCAGCGTCCCAAGCCGGCAGCTCCTCCGGCATGGCTGTACTGCCCCCAACCCCACTCGCTGGGCCAGGCACCAGGCTCACTGGCAGCTGTCCCTGGTTGCCCTAGTGCATTGGGCGGGGCATGACATAAAATAAAAAGTTATTGAATTGCTTTCTAGATTTTTTTATTTGATTCTAATCACCATCATTGCTTGAAATATTTCTGCAATAGTTTAAGGGCTTGTCTACAGTACTGCGCGGGGTTGATATAAGATACGCAACTTCAGCTCCATGAGTAGCGTAGCTGAAGTTGACTTACTTACATCTACTTACTGCAGCATGTTGACAGCTGACGCTCTCCTGTCGACTCTGCTTGCGCTTCTTGTTCTTGTACCGATACGTCGGGTAGTGTAGAAAAACCCTACGTCTAGTCAAAAAGCTGACATTTACTTGTGTCCTGTGCTGTGCCCTGCTTCTTCCTGGACTCCTGCTGGTAAGATACATCCTCATCAACTTTATGATTGAAGACCTTCCTCTTGTGCTGGCTAACCCTGTGTCTTCCCAAAGGCCCCACGTCCATTACTAAATACATTAATCCTTCTTTCCCCCCAAATAATGCTAGACAGTGCCCTCCCCAAAAATGAATTTATGCTCACCCCACAGAGTCTGTTGCTGCAATGGAACGAGGCCTTATGCACATACTACCCTCTACTGAGATGTCATGAAGCTGAGATTTCAGTCCTCCTGTCCCAGGCCCAATTTTCCAAAAGAAGAGCAGTAGGCTAAGGAGCAGTGATGTCCTGGCAGGCTGAAGACCTGTGAGAAGCTCCCTGCTATGTTGTTGGAGGTCTCTTGTACTGGGGTGGCCTTGCCAAGATCAGTCTCCCAAGCAGAAGGTTAGGTGTATTGGCCTCTGTCATCAGCCATCCAGCAGACCACATGGTGAGCCTCCCCTCTTCCCATGCGTCGTACTCAGAATAGCAGTAGCTGCTCAAGCTGAAGAGGCAGCTGGCAATCTCCCCTCTTTCTAGTAGTAACAGTCATCTACCACTATTGTTTGCAGCATTGTTGTAACCCTCTTGGTCCCAGGATGTTAGAGAGACAAGGTGGGTACCTTTTATTCGACCAGCTTCGGTTGGTCAGAGAGATAAACTTGAACTTGCACAGAGCTCTCCTTCAGGTCTGGGCTGAAGGAAAACTTGAACTGTGTAAGCTGGAAAGCGTGTCAATTTCCCCAACAGCTGTTGGTCTAATAAAAGATCTTGCCTCACCCACTATGGCTAGTAGCAGCAGCAGCAGTAGCTTTGGCACAGTCTCTGCAGAAATAGGAAGATATGACTGCAGAGATTTTAACTTCAGTTTGTGTTTGAAAAGTTTTCTTAGCATGTATAAAAAGGCTAGGGAACTCTTTTTAAAGAGAGACAACATCATTAGCACATGTGCTCCAACACTTTCATCCACCTCTGAATTAAAGGATTTGTTTTATCAGCAACTCAACAGTATCATCAGCAAGCTACCACAGGTGAGGGACACTATCTACTGGGAGACTTCAGGACTAGAGAAGGCTCAGATCACGAGATGTGGCTGCTATGCCTTGGCCACCATAGAGGGGGCGAAACTGAACAACAGTGCGCAAAGACTACTGGAGCTCTTTAGCCTTTGAGGGTTGTTTATTACCAACACCTATTTCCAAGGTGGTCACTACTGGAAGGTCTTGTTGAGATATCCCACATCTGGACACTAGCACCAATTGGATTTAATTGCCACCCACCGAAAACACCTGGATGTTCTCCATGCTTGCAGTTTTCATAGTGCAGACTGTGACACAGACCATCCGCTTGTATTCTGTAAATAAAACTTTCATTAAGGAAACTCCATTGTACCAGACAAAGCTGTTGCCCTTGCATTAATATCAATACACAAAAGACCAAAGGTCGTGTCTCCAATTTACTTTACTTTTCAGGGAAACTATGTAATTGATTGTATTTCCCTGAATGCTGATGCAGCATGGAACACTGAATTTAAAAAAAATCTATGTATCTGCAACCTTAGCTTTTGGAAAAGACTGTACTGCCAATAAAGTCTGGTTTGCCCCATACTCTGGAGGAATGCTTCCAGTTATTAAAGCAAAGCTCGCAGCATATCTCCACCACAACATGAACCCCTCTCCTGAGATGTGCTAACCTCAGAATGGCCAAGAGCGCATTGCAACAAACAGCAAGGCAATGTTCTCACTCAGACTGGCTTGGTCTGTGCGAGAAGATACAAATGTTCTTTGAGAATGGTGATCTAAGAAGTATATATGATGGAATCAAGAAAGCAAGAAGACTGCTTCATTGGAATCTCTTAATGCAGACATCATCATTGACAGGAGCAAGGAGATGGAACTTTGGATAGAACAGTATCACAAACTTTATTTACATGAAACCACTGTTTCTGAAGCAGCGCTATATGCACAATGACTTGCTTGCCTGCTGGAGGGAAGGAGTGGTACCATGGAACATGAAGAATGCCAACATCATAATGTCTAAAAATAAAGGTAGTTGAAGTAATTGCAACAACTACAGAGAAAGTTCTCTCCTTAGTGTTACTGGCAAGGCATTCTCATGGGTCATCTAAAGAGCTAATGACTTGACAGTTTTCTTTTCCAACTATTTTGATTTCAGGAACTTGGGTTTCCCACTTCACAGTTAGAACACGGTGAAGATAGTAGATGTAGGAGGTGTTTAGCCTTGTCTCATGACTGCTCTAGGAGACCCAAGTCTTCCCATCATACAGCAGTGTGCTCAAAACGCACATCTGGTAAACCCCTATATCTTGGTGTTCACGTTAGTTTTCTGTTATCCCACATTTCTTGGTTAGTTGGCCGAATGGTGGTAGTTGCCTTTCCAATGCAAGAATTAAACTCCCCATCTAGAGATAAGTTAACCAAAACACTTAACCCTAAATAGCAGAACTTGTACACAACTTCTAGCATGGTGTTAGATACACTCTAGATCAAACGAAATTATGAGCTTGGTGCAGAAATACTGGGTGAGGTTCTGTGGCCTGAATTATGCAGAAGGTAAGGCTAGACCATAATTCTCTCTTTTGGCCTTATCTGTTCTTTAGCTCAGAAACTGAAGTTGGCATAGAAGCAGCAGTGTAACTCACTGTGATCTAAAATCTACTATGGGTACCTGGTGACTTCCAGGTGGAGTCCTCACCCCAACTCTGCCCCCTCCCTGTCCCCAGGGGGTGCAGGAGCGGTGAGGGGTGTGGCAGGGGGGAGGGGTGCAGGGTGTGGCGAGGCCTCAGGGCAGGGGGTTGAGGTGCAGGAGGTGTGCAGGGTGCGGCAGGGGGCTCAGGGCAGGGAGTGCAGGAGGTGTGCAGGGTGCGGCAGGGGGATCAGGGCAGGGAGTTGGGGTGTGGGGTGCAGGAGGGGGTTGGGATGCAGGGTGTGGCAGGAGGCTCAGGACAGGGGGTTGGGGTGCAGGAGGGGTGTGTGGGATGTGGCAGGGGGCTCTGGACAGGGAGTTGGGGTGCAGGCAGGGTGCGGGCTCCGGCCCGGCGCCGCCTACCTAGAGCGGCTCTGGGGTGGCAGCGCTGTGCACCGTGGCAAGTGCAGGCTCCGTGGCCCCTGGCTCTGCTCTGCTCCGCTCCGCTCCAGGAAACAGCCGGAGTCCCGGGGGGGCGGAAACGGTGCCATGTGCTGCTCTTGCTGCTCCTCCAGGTACCTCCCCCAAAGTCCCCATTGGCCGCGGTTCCCCGTTCCCGGCCAATGGGAGCTGTGGGGGGCGGTGCCTGGAAGAAGAGCACGGAGCCCTCTACTCCCCTCCCGCCCTGCCTGGGGCTGCAGGGACATAGTTCCAGCCGCTTCAGGGAGCGGCGCGGGGCTTGCGGCGCCATGGGGTAGGCAGAAGGGCGGGGGGGGGGTGCACAGGGAGCTTGGTGCGGCCTGCGTGTTTGAGACCCCTGGTCTAGCAGTTCATCCAGGAGGTTGCTGCATAACCTTAAAACCCTGTTGTGATGCTGCCTTTTAATCAAATTTAACTTGCAAATTTGGGAACACAGCTAATGAAAGTTTTTACAGGTCTGATATTGATTTCCATTACAGCTTGTTGAATTTAGCACTTGAAGATAGTCACATTATTTCTATTAAATAGTATTAAGGGTGCTTGTGCTTAATATTGTACCTTCTTGTACCCTGATTCTTGTGGAAGATACAACCTTAATTCAATAATACATTTTGTGATTCTGTATAGATTTCAATAATTGTTATGCCTGGAAATATAAAGTTGAGGGAATTACTAAAAAGGGCATGCATAATTAGAAGAAAACATCTAAAAACAATTTCCAGGCTAGATTTCTGAGCTG